TCTCAGAAGAATTGCATCCCATAGGCTGGCACTTAGCATCAACAGGCCGGTTGACTCTTCTTTCCTTGTTCCTTCATTCCTGATCTGGAATCCCTAAAGAACCTCTCAACACTCATGAATGTGCTGTGAAACTTTTTTTTAAGTATTTTATGTAGCTAACATCATTCTTATGATTATTAGAATCATCACATTGAAAAGCTCATGCAGAAATGAACACATTTAATTGAAGCAAGACTTCAGTGTTTGCAGTAAAGAAATGCAGAGGGGAGAAGCCAGAACAGTGTCTCCTTTGGCCAGCTCTGTGCAGCCTAGGACTGTTTAGAACTGGAAACCACAATGTGTTATCTTCTGGTTGAAGGCAGCTCCATAAAGCAAGTACGGATTGAACTAAGGTTGTGCAGGCCATAAAATCTTGTCAAAGTAGAAATCCCAACAATAAAATATCCAGATCACTCAGTGTTCATGAGTGCAAAACAAATTTCAGGTGCAATAAACTGCTGCAGAATCAAGCATCCCAAAGGTTAGTAAGATAACCAGTATGGCAGCATCCAAGGATTTAAATGAATTCAGTGAGTAAATGTTGGCTTTTGTGAAGACAATTACCTGGATTTATCCAGTGCCACATAAAGGATAAATAAACCTTTTCCCTAGAACGAGGGAACAGTATATGGAATTTTTTTAAATGTTACTCTCTAAGTGCTTTGAAATATATTAATGGTCACCAAGCATTTCCAAGCGTGGTTGTGTTCTTCCATCTCTTTTCTCCAGTGCTTAAAGGTGGAAAAGAGGCCACTGTGGTAAACCTGCTCTTTTCTTCTCAGCATTTTGCCTTCAGAAAACCTGTAGCAGCACTGGTACATGCTTTATTCCTTCCATATTTAATATCCTGTTGAACGAGTCGTCAAATTAGATGCTGAAGGTACTATTTTAAAGTTATTAGGATAGTCAAAATCAACTCTGTAGTTGTTGACATAAGCTTAACTAGGTAACCTGTTCCAGGCCTCAGATTGCTTTTTTTGAAGAAAATAAGCAATTCAACCTTACAGATGCATTGCACAGTTTGTTAGCTGTTAGTAAATCAAGATTTTGGCTTTAAGGTAACTATGTTTTGAGTATATATATGCATTAAATACTAAGTCAAGAGAAGCAAATTTGTATGTTACTTCTAGATAGTTTCTTATGTTTCAAAAAGAGAGCAACTTCAACTATTTATAAACTGTAATTAAGTTTCTTTATAACATGACTCATTCTCAACAAGCAAGTCCTTTTTCTTTTGCTTTCTTATGAACTGTGTGGGAAAATTAGGGTTCAATCAGTGAAGAATTTACTCAATGCTTAATTACCCATAAACAGCCCTCCAAGTTCTGCTCATGTAGTGCTTGCATAAAGACATTATTTTCCCCACTCTATAGCTGTCTAAAATTTGACTTTTAAAGAATGATCTGTAAATTGTAATGTAGGAGAAAGCAATGTTTTATTGGATTCCTTCTCCAGTCTGCTTCTTTAAGTTCCTCTTACATTAACAGTATGATGCTTAGGAGAGCCAAAGTAAGAAATCATCAGATTTAAATTACTTTGAGCATGGAACTAAATTAGAAAGCTTTACTTTCCTGAATGAGCTAATTGTTTAAATTTTCCAAAGGAAATGTTTCTATTTCTGCGAGAGAAGGGGTAAATGGGACTTCCTCTGACATAATTTTCATTTTAAATCTTGAGTTTGACAGCAGCATTTTTACCTTCATAACCAAATATTACTGCTTAACTGCATGACTTGTATAAGCTTGCTAGTTGAAATGACTCACTTACGCAGATGAAGTTATTTTTAGGGAGATAATTTGCACTGTTTAGAAGAGAGGAAAAAAGGGAGAGAGAGTCCTACTAAGAGCTAGATCTCTCATTATAGTTTACAGAGCTCATGAACCCAGCATCCAAGCAAAAGATGACTAAGCAAGGGGTCTATTGGTACTTTCAGGAATTTACAGACATGAGTCATCTGCTTATTTTCTGCAGACATATCACCAGGGTACTTTGTAAGTCAGCTGTTATTTGGGAATAGTACTTGTATTCAACAGGAATACGTTTTTGTAGTTCTTAGGTAACTAACATGCCAAACCAACACAGGCTTTTACAGTTTGCCTAGTTCAGGTGTTAATTTACAAAACTGATGCCTCGTTTACAAAACTTATGTGTTGTTCTTAACTGTGATGCATTTTTCATGGCAAAGTGTGAATGGTTGTCTTGCATGTAATTACAGTAACACCTTTGTCATCCTAGATATTGCATGAAGGCAGATCTGATTTTTTATTAATGCACAGATTGAGAGTCAGACTGCCTACACATGACCAGGTAAAAAGAAACATTTTCTTTAGCAAGCCATATGTGATTATGAGCAGAATTTGACCTTTTATGTCCAACACACCTTGCCAGCATTAATTACCAGTGGTATTTGCTTATTTTTTCATTCTGTGCACTAACAGTGGCAATGCACAGGCCTCCACTGGGACGGAAGCAAGTTCTTGCCTTCCTTTCCTAGTGCTGAAATAATAGCTGGCTACCTTGAGATATGTATAACACTTTAAACTCAAGGCTATTTCCTGTTTACTGGCCTTTTAGGTGTGGTTGTGTTCCAGAATTAGGGACAGGTTTTTTTACTTGGTCTGGACTCATCCACACCTTGTATTAAGGAAACACTTGGGTTAGAAAAGTGGAAGTTTGGCAATTTCAGGTGAAGGGTGTTATTATAAATCAAAGGCAGTTTAAATTTTTCAAAACTCTACTTGCAGTTCAGGGTAATGCTGCTGCTGTCCAGATGTGGGATGCACAGTTTTGAATCTAGTTTGATTTTCTGATTTATGTGATCAGTTTATAATGTAATTCCTGAAAATTCCTATACAGATTTTGGTTAATAGAATATATTTTGGTGGTACCTTGTCATAACAAATGCAGGTTGTCCCTGTAGTGAGAGCACTGCCTTGATTATCCATTTTAAACAACATTTCTAGTGCTGGGTACTTTGCCCTGAGAGCCCACCTTTAGTTGTAGGTAACAGGGGAAAAAAACTAGTGCTCCTTGCATGTGTTATGTAGATGGCAATTTTGAAGGGAAAGTTAATGGAAGTTAGAAATTCTTAACTAAAAGGTCGAGTACAAGGACTAAATTATTGTTTGAATGCTTTGCTAAAGTTTGTTATTCTTCTCGCTCAAATAAGTGATAAAATACAAAAGTATACAAACTTGGTTTCTCTTAAGGAGTTGGTACTTAAGAATGAAAAAGATACACTAGAGAAACAGTTTAAGCACTCAGAGCTGAAGTATTGTAAGATTAAAATAGAGAATCAGTCTTATTGATTCTTTTCCATGGTGGAGTCCTTCAGAGACCGAGGCGCACACATTATTTGTGAGGGGAGGAGACTGCATGCTTGCTGATAAATGGCCAGGTCACACCAATGTTGTTCAGGGCTGTTATTTAGTAATCACATTATAAAGAGGAATTCAACAGAGCAATCTTTGAATCTAACCTTTGTTAAAGCAGTGATCTGCCCTCGAATTAGCAGAACTCTGCCCATGTCATTAGTGCTTAAATATCTGCTGGGAGCTGCTGTGTGGGCTGAGTCACCCGGGCTCCGGGAGTTGTCACGTGTGGCTCAGACACTGGGTCATGAACTGAGCCAGCACTGTCCTCCACGGGAGCATTTGTTGTATTTTGGGACCGTGGCTGCAATAGCACATTTAATTTAGTGTGCTTCATGGCTGTAAATGCTTCTATTCCTAGAGCTTGGAGGGTCCTTTAGCGCAAACAGAGATAGGGTGTAGCTGGTGCACATCTGAGCATTTAGATGTGATTAGATAAACGGAAAAATGAAGGAACTAGCAGGATGATACCATGGAATTTGGAAAATAAAACCTGTCTTACACTGATTCCTCAGTCTGTCAGCAGAGATTTCACTGGAGGTGCTAGAATCTCTGGAAGTATTTAAAGTACAATTCCATTGCAGTGTTCTTTCACTGTACAGAATTTTAAAAATGTGATTTGAAGGATATCAAAAAGTATGGGTTTAGATGCTTCATAAAGGAAGCCTACCCCTTTAAAAGAAGTTACCGTTCTGTTAATTTGGATGTTAGATTAGACATTTAATATTAGTAATTCAAGTCTGTTGTCCTAACTCAGTTTAACTACAGATTTCTGAAGCCTCCTGAAATAAGAAGTAGACCAAGAAAATACAAACCATAATTCTAACAATGAAAAAGTCAGGTTAAAAACTAGTTCTGACCAAGAAAACATACACAGTTTCTAACTGTTGTAGACTATTTTATTGTTCACCAGACCTAACTGATCATGAGACAGTGATAGGCGAAGGGAACTAAGAGGTTCTGATTTTTATTTTTAGTGTGATATTTTAGGTAATAATGACTTTGTGGTGTGTTTTTAGTTTTGTGGGTGTTTTCTTGTCTAGCAAATGACAGCAAGCTGAAATCTTTTCCAGCTCATATGACTGAATCTTTCTACATTCTTTATCAACTCATTTGGCTGCTTTAGGACACAGATAGCTGTAAAATAAGGATGATAATGTTTTTGATGTCCATGAGGACACTAAAATATATTGGTTAAAGCAGATAAATTTGGTTTTTTAATGAAAAGCAAAACAGAATGTATTTTGTGAATTTTTGAAAGGGAAGATTTCACTATAAAAGTAGGGTTTTTTAAAAATAACTAAATAACCCTGGTGAAGATTTTATGATTAACATAGCAATGCACTAGCTAAACTTTTTTAAAATCATGTACTTTACAGAAGTGTTTTGGTAAAGCAAAGTGTCCCATACAGCAATAGGTTGGAATCATTGCTTATAAGAAATGCAGAAGGATGTTTTATAACTAACCATCAGTTTCTCCTTTTCTGACACCTTTAAACCAATAGAATGGTCTGATATATTCCCACTAAGCAAAAAGGAAAAAATACACTAGCATATTTTTATAACTCTTTTTTTCCTTTTGAATTGCAGTTGACCTACCCCTCTACTTTCCTCGAGACCAACCAACCCTAACATTTCAGTCTGTGTACCACTTCACTAACAGTGGCCAGCTGTACTCCCAGGCCCAGAAGAATTACCCATACAGCCCCAGATGGGATGGCAATGAAATGGCCAAGAGAGCAAAGTAAGTCAGATTGCTGTTTCCTACTAAGCATTCCATTTGTTTCATGGTCTTTGGTGGGTAGAAATTTCATGGATGTAACTGCATTTTCAGGGTTACAAAAGCTGAACCTGTTCTTGTTCTCATACAGTCCTGGTGTTCCTGTAGATGAGTGTAGACAGATACTTATCATGCTTATGGCATTAGTGCCAGAGGATGAACAAAAGAAGGCTCTTTCTGCCAGGCTTTGTATGACACAGAGTGGTGACAGTGTCTGCTCCAGAGAACTTCCAGCCTAAGTAGATGAGATAGCCCCCAGCAGGAGTAACCTGCATGGTAGCAGTCAGTCAAGGTAACTCCCTGGGGTTGTGTTGAGGGGACCCTGAAGGGAAGCATGTGAGATGGAGAGAGCGAGAAGAAAAACCTGAAAGATCTGGAATTAGGCTGTAATGAAAAGGCATGGAAGAACAGGAGGAGGTAGAGCAAACCACCATTCCAGCACAGGAGGCAGCCCTATCAGATCTTGAGAAAGTTATCTGAAAATCTGAATGTGTCTTGCTTTATTGCCTTTTTGTTGGATGGAAACAGAGAATCGCTGTCTCCTTCCTCTGCATTTTTTCTGCAAGCCCTCATTTTGGGCTGAGGAGAGATCACTTCAGTCTGTGTACCCCTTTAGTTAACGGTGACAAGGCAGCTTCAAAGAGGTTCTGTTACAAGGACAAGCTGCCACAGGCAGTGGTGTCCCCAGAGCTAGATATTATCCCTGTCTTCTCATGAAGCAGAACAGATTTTACCTGAATGGGGAAGTTAAGGCAGCAGGCTTGCTGCAGTGTTTTAATTTTGCAAAGTGTAAAAATGTTAAAACAGCGAGAGATTTAAGCAGGCTGATTATCAGTTGTTCAGCATGTAAAAGCATCAAACTGCATAAATCACAGGGCGTATTGGGATGAACATTTTGAATGACAGTCAGAAGATTAAATTAAATCAGCAAATATGCATAAAGAAGAGTTGAAACAAAAATAGTTCAAGCTGAGTAAATCAAATGAGTAGCATGGTCAGAGACTGTAATTTGGAAATAATGAAAGCAAACAACAATTGACTGATGCATTTGTAGATTTTTATACTGATTTAAATTCTATGGAAAACATCAAGTAACATTTGATTTGGAATTTTAATATGCATTGTAATAAAAACTTTTTGGTAGTATTTGGTTTTGCCACCATACTGTTTATAGGAGAGCCATTTCTTAATCAACTATGATTTTTTGTGTGTATGGACCTTCTTCTTTTCTTTAGCAGGATGAGTATTTTGTGTACTAAAAAAAAAAAAAAACAAACAAGAAGAACAATAACTGGAAGCATTACTGTGGCTTTTTTTTATGCCCATACTACAAAATGCATTTCTTTTGTAGCTGAAAGCTTACAAGTACCTATGTGCTGTCTGCTAAGTGCATTCGCTTATGAGTGGGTGTATACAAATGGACTTCACTGCCCTGCACTTGAAATTTAGAAGTATGACAGCAGTTCTCTTTAAAAGCACTAAATGCGTACACTTACTATCACATGTACGTTTGGTGAGGTTATTCACTCTTACGTTGGAGGCTCTGCACTGAAGCTCTACCCTGGCTGCGTAATAGGAGAGGGATGATGAGAAGCGGGGGAAGGCAGTGTGCAGAGATGTCTGAAATAGCAATCACTGAGCTGCTCAGAGACACAAACTGCTCCGCTTAAAAGCGCTTCGCTTGCAGGAACAGCTAGTGATTCCTCAGTAGGTACCATAAATAAATCTGCATCAAGGAAAATATGATGTTATGATACATGTGAGCATATTTTAAGAAAGATTTTGAACACAATTGAACATCTTATGTAAACAGTGTTTAAAATATTTGCTAGGGCTTCTTAGAATAGGTTCGTGTGTTTTAACATAACCAAATAACTTCTTATTCTACTTAATTTTTACCACAGACCTGTTATGGATCAACTATATGGGAATATATGTTGATATGTGGGAAAGCGTTCTGATGAGACATATTAGTTCAAACAGCACATGAAAACTTCCCAAATAAAAACAGGAAAAAAAGAACACATTATTTGCCCTCTAGAAACAATGTCATTCTACTCTGCTGAAGTAAATTTAGCCCTAGTTAAATCAGAGACAACTTGTTTGTGTTTCTAAATACTGTCAATTAGGGTTTGCTTATATATAGTCTTTTTGCCTCTTAGCAAAATTGTCTCCCAAGTGCTCAGCATTCTTTGAGACAAAACATCTCTGTTTATCTTCCTGGCCATTGCTCTAGGGCCACAGGATCTCCCACTTGATATTCCAGTATCTGACCAAGTTCTCCACCCTTCTTCTCAGACTTTAGGCAGGGATCAGTGTACTCTGTCTTCCTCACTGGGGCTAAAGACATCATCAGGGATAGATTTTGCTTGCTCTTGCATCAACTGTAGGAGCATCATCCAGTTGGAAATGGCATCAGTCACAGCTTTCCTCGTCCTCAATTTTGGCAAGCCCTGTCTCTGTTTTCAGCAAGTCAGCACAGCCTGTTTATTCATGGGCAGAGCTGTCATAAGTTCATACCAAAGGGACTTTGATTCTGTGCCCAGACTTCTCCCAAGGTTGTTTTGGTGTGGGTTGTTGATTTTTTTTCCAAACAGATGAACCCATCCAGTTCCTTTGGTGCAGGGACTAAACTTGAAAGTCTTGGTATCCTTGCTTATCTCTGTGGCCCCCAGCAGAAGTAGGCATCTCTTTTGAAGTTAGGACTTAACCCTTTGCTGTAGCCCGAGACAATCAGTAGTAACTATAGGCAGGAGCAAAATTAGTTCCCTAAAATGCATACATATAAAAGTAGATTGTATGCATTCACACCTAGAGATGTATCACCTAAATCTAAAAGGCAAATTCTCATATCAGAATATCACTTTAGCTGGATCTTTTTTATTCAGAGAGAAAAACTGCCCATGTTCTTGCTGAACTTATTGGACCAATTTATATCTGTCTCATAAAGTCCATGAAGTCAAGCCTCTTTTCTGTGTTCTCTTAGGCAGATTTTAAAATCACTGGGCTCCATTGCAGCCCACTGATTTGGATTCCTCACTGAGAGATAGCATCTGGTTACTGAAGATTGCTATTGTCTTAGCCCCGGGGTTGCCCTCTGGCTTTATTTAATTCTGAAGGATGAATCAAGTCCTGATTTAATAATGTGATTTCAGTTGCCTCCAGATTGCTTGTTTCTCAGCTAACACAAAATTTTAACCTGTTCCTCCAGCTAGAAACAGGGAAACCAATAACATAAGAATTTTCTTACAAGCTGCTGAGATGCCATTTCCTCTCAGTTGGTATCTCAGGCTTTGCCTCTTGTAGGTCATTTATTTATATGTCTGTGGCCTCCTGCGTAAGCAGCTTCTCCAAAAGTTTTGGTCCTAAAATACAATGGCAAGCCTAAGAAAATACAATAAATTATGGAAAGTTAGCAGCCTTGTTTGTGGTGTACGTGTGAAGTAAAACATCTCTGTGCAGTTTCCATGGGAAAGCTTTCTTGTCTTTTTGCTTAAATAGGCATTCAAGTGTACATAAATGGAGTCTTTAAAGAGCGTGCTGACTTGAAGCCTGGGTTTTTATGAAGGAATACTGTAAATAAAGCTTGTTTGTTTATACAAATGAAATTCAGTTCTTAGATACACTCTGGCCCAAGTTCTGTGTGACCCAGTGCTGCTCTGTAGACTTAGATTATACTTCAGGGGAGAGCAAGTTAAATCTCAGTTTATTCTTTTATCCTACATAAATCCACCTACTCATCATTAAAAATAGCAGGAGCATGGAAAACTGGTACCACAATAAGAAGTTGTTCCAAGGGTTCATATTCCCTTTTTTTTCCAAGTTGGCTGACAAAACAGGTTTCTGAATGACAATGTTATCCCTGACCATCCATCGGTTTTTGCCGAATGCGGTGTAAATTTTATCTATCTCTTTGGGCATTCAGAGGGTGAAAGCATCAAAGAGCTCAAGTGCTCTCAACTATATTGGCTGTTGCTCTGCCATGAGGTCAAGTGCATCATCAGATTATGTGCAGGTGCATCTTGTGCAGGCCACAGCCGCAGCTTCAGTTTGTGCTGAGCACAAGAGTGCCATGGTTAGAAGGTGTCAGGCTGGTGAACTGGGCCACAGCATTTTCAGCCTCAGCCACGGCTTCTCCTTGAGTATCAGCAAATTGATGATGTCTGTCATGTGTATGATTGAGGCCCCCACTACAAGAAAGATTTGAGGTGCTGGAGCACGTGCAGAGAAGGGCAATGGAGTGGTGAAGGGTCTGGAGCACAAGTGCTGTGAGGCGTGCTGGAGCTGGGGGTGCTTAGGCTGGAGAGAAGGAGGCTCAGGGGTGACATTGTCACTCTCCACAGCTGCCTGAAGGGCGGTGTATCCACATGGGGATTGGCCTCTTCTCCCAGATAACAGGTGATAGGACAAGAGCAAATGACTGCAAGTTGCACTAGGAGGGGTCTAGTTTGGATATTTAGAAAAATTTCTTCCCCAAAAGGGTTGTCAAGCCAGGCTGCCCGGGAGGGAATGAAGTCACCACCCCTACGGGTATTTCAGAGGTGTGTGGATGTGGCATTTAGGATGTGGTTTAGTGGTGGGCTTGGCAGTGATGGGTTAATGGTTGGACTTGATGAACCTGAAGGTCTTTTCCAATCTTAACAGTTTGGTGATTCTATGATTACATTAACAGATTAAAATATTGCATTTCTTAGTTTAATAAAAGGATATTTGGAAAGAAAAAGGGACAGTTGTTGTGTTGCTGTTTAGACATAACAGTTGTAGTATGTCAAAGACTTGCTGTTCTATTAAGTAAATTTTGTGTGCCCTAATGATTTTTTTTGTTATTTTGACATTAACCAGTTTCGACTCATCCATTTTTTTATTGTTATTCAGATTTCTTTCACATTTTAGGCAGAATACCTTTTACTATATTTCAAATTCTTAAAAAATAACAACTTTCAAAATTTTCATGAAACTTTTGA